TCTATGGTCACTGGTCAACAATGCGGAAGCGAGGTCGCAATTGCGAGTGAAAAGATGAGAGAGGAAACTGGAATTCTAGATGACAAATTTAGCTTTAAAAAACACCCCGATGGAACTGTTGATAAAACCAAGGTGGTATGTACATACTGCAAGGCTGAATTTTCTTTTCACTGAAGCACAACCAGTTTAAAATACCATCTTCGAGCAAAGCARGTTTTTGTTGATGCTAGCAAGAATGGTAATTTGGGGGGATGAACAACAGCTCGTCAGATGACACCGGCAGAGTTCAGCTGTGGAAATGTTAACAAAGCCACAACAGTGAACTTAAATAATGCTATTGCCAAATGGATAGCCACTGACTGTAGGCCAATTAACATTGTTGAAGATCGGGAGCATCTTAATATCATTCACGCCACAACAGGTGACCTGTCATACAAGTTACCTTCCCAGGGGACTGTTGTAAAAAAGAATACATGAACTCTACAACATCAACAAGACAGCTYAAGCACAGCAGCTGGCAGATGCTTCCTTTATTGCTCTAACTGGAGACCATTGGACCTCTGTGGGTAATCACAATTACCTCGAGGTTACTGCACACCTAACTGATGATAAATGGCAACTACACTCCTTTACTTTGGGCGTGTTGAAAACAGAAGAAAGACATTTTGCCGATGCATGTGCTGGTCAGTTTCTCCAAGCTGCTAAAGAGTGGGATGTTACGGAGAAGGTCACTACTTTAGGAACTGACAGCGCTCACAACATGGTTGCTGCCGCAAGAAGTTTAGCATTTGAACATGTGTCCTGTGTAGCTCACGCTATACAGCGAGTTATCACTGTAGCTTTTCAAGACAGTYGATTTGATGCCCCCCTGGCCAAGTGCCGTAAAATAGTGGGACACTTAAAACACAGCCCTGCAAATACATCAGAGCAGAAAGCACACCAAGCCTCTCTTGGACTTCAGGAGGAGTCACTTGTCCAGGATGTACCTACGCGCTGGAATTCAACTCTGGAGATGATTAAATGGATTCAGCACAACAAAGATCCACTGGACCAGCAGAAGCACAACCTAGCCATGATAGCCACAGCTGAATATGAGAAGTTGGCAAAGCTGGAAACTCTACTGGAGCCCTGCAGGTGAGTTTTTTGTTATATACTTTTTACTCTTTAACCATAATGTAATATTAGTTATGACTGTTATATATTATTTGTTAACAGTATTCGATAATTTAAATGTGGTGGGTTTTTTGTGTGTGTCTGCACTGTAGGTACATCACAYAGCTCCTAGGTGGGGAAAAGTATGTGTCTTGCTCTGCTGTGCTGCCTGCACTCTGCCATCTTCAACGTACAATGGAAGTTTCAGATGTTGATCCACATAGTCCGCTTCAAGGTTGCTTTTACAAAGGATCTCAACAAACGCAAAGGTAACTTAAATCTGGACTGGTTAAATGTATCAACTGCTTTGTATCCATGATTTAAGGATCATAGATGCATGCCCGGGGCAGAAAGGGAAGAGGTGTGGAAAAAAACTGAGTGACATGATGGCCACAGAACTTACACCCCAGGCCCCCATAGATGAAATGGAGACAGAGCCACCCAAGAAAAAGATGGCCCTTCTGCTCATGGGATCAGAGTCAGAGTCCGATGATGATGAAGGATTATCCACAGACACTACTCTAGAGCGGTACA